GAGGCTGCAGTGGCCGGGAGCGGCCACTGCACTCCAGTTTGGGCAACAGAGTGAGACTCCAACTCAAAAATAAATAAATAAATAAAAATAAAGAATGCAGGTTTTAGAGGGAAGTGAACTCTGGGATCTGCCACCAACCCATCACTTGACCTTGAACAATTCACTTAACTTCTCAGAACCTCAGTTTCCTCATCTGTAAAACGAGGGAGGTGAATGGTACAGTACCTACTTCAGAGTTTATTCAATGAGATCCTGTACATGAAGAACTTAGTGCAAGGTGTGGCACTAGTAAGTGCTCATGAAGGGCTACTGATGCTATATTAACATTGCAATAACTGTTACTATGGTCCCTTGATTATCTGTAAGTCACTTATTTAACATCTTCATACATCTGGAACATGGTTGAAAAACAGGAGGGAAGCAAAAAATGCCTCTAAGCAGTTAAAACGGACACCATAAAATTCCTAAGTCAAAGCTTATGCATTTACTCATCAAAGAGGCCCTCACAATTTTTAGACACAATCATAACAATCTGGATCATTTGCTTTCCTAAACCACAGCAAATCAGAAAGGAGGTATGGGGAGGGGAGTGGAGGATTCTAAATTCAAGCACACTGAGAGCAGTAAAAAGTAAGAGCTGAGTCAGGTATGATGACATGCGCCTAAAGTCCCAGCTATTTGGGAGGCTAAGGCGAGAGGATCACTTGATTGAGCCCAGGAGTTCGAGTCCAGCCTGGGCAACATAGTGAGATTTTGTCTCAATTAAAAAAAAAAAAATTAGAAGCTGATAATTGGAAAGCAGACAAGAAAAGTGTGAAGAAAATGAGAACTTAAAGCCTAGAAGTCAGAGCAGGCAAACAGCCTCACATGCTTCTCTTTCCCTAGGTAGCACTGCTGCATTACAGCAAGATGCAATTGCTGACAGTCATAATGATGACCTCCAGTCAACAAGAAAAAATTAAATTATAGTCAGTATCTCTTATTTAAGAGGGAAACTCCAAACTCCCTTAAAGTAATGTTGGCACTTAAAAGTTTAAGTTTCTATGCCTAGAAAAATCCCCTCATTCCCTAATGATGTCAGGCATCCCTAAATGCTGCATCTAAAGCAGGATTCTGTTACTATTTTTTTTTATATCCTTACTTGGTTGAGCCATAGAGCTCCCAGGCTTTGGCAATTCCCAGGGCCAGTCCCTTGCTTGGATTATTGGAGAGGATCTTGGCAGCTTCTTTGGTCTTATTCAGGATGTTGAAAACATGTCTGTTGCAAGAGAGATGGCTGTTCAGTAATTAGATGCACCTGGAAGACACCTCTAACCATGACCTCACAGATACTATGGGAACATCACTCTGAGAATCAGCTAAGCACTAAAAAGCATCTTACCATCACACTCCTGTTGGATCCACTTTAGGTTGGACTACACTGGGCTTCCCTAATCCCAGGCTCTGTTATACATGACCAGAGGAGCCCTTTGTCCCTCCCCCAACCCACCCCAGCCTACCAATGAGCTGGAGCCGCCTACCCTGGTCCCTATGTACTGCCTGGAATCCTGCTGCAGACCATCTGAAATCATTGCAATCTGAAACATCACTGTTGGCTAGAAATGGATGCTACTAGAGTCCACCCCTTGGATGGAAGCCCCTTCATTCTTCTCTCCTCTGCATTGGATTCTGATCTCCGTTCAGGCCCTCACACATTTCAAGTTCTTTCAGACCCCAGGGCTCTTGAACAGATTGTTTCTTCTGCCTGAAACACTACTTATACAATGAAGGGGAAGGACCAGATAAGCCATGAGGTCCCTTCCTCCCTGGCATACTGAAGATCTAATCATACGTGGAAACTGTGATGGAGGTGGGGAGACAACATATGACCCAGGGCCCAGGAAGGCACAATCATAGTTAGAGATCCCTAGCCCAGCCAATGATTGTAAGCCTATCAGGATGTCACCCTGCAGGTATGCTTGGGGCTGCCTAAGGGACCCACCGGTGCACAACTGGGGTCCGGGATGCCAAGCCCCCAAAGCTGGCAGAGATGGTGTTGATTTCAATCTGTTTCAGGACTGGGGAGCCATCTGCGCTGCTCTGGAACATGTAGTCTGAGCGATTCAGGCCCAGGAACACGGTCTGTGGGGAAAATTGAAGGCTAAGGATATCTGCCCAGGTGCTGACTCTGAGAGCCTAGCCACAGAGCAGAGAGGTACCACGAACCCTGTGTAGAGATCAGAGACATCAGCTAACATTCCCCAAACCAATAGACTGGTCATTGGGATGTACCAACCCAATGGGGACCAGAGAGAGGTAGATTCCCATGAGCTCAGGGCCTGGACCAAATTCTTCTGTTAGAAAACAAACAAAATACAGAGATGGGAGGGGTAGGTTCCACACTGGGGTGGGACTGGGAATGGTTACCTGGGCAATGCCCTCTTTCAGGACTTGCTTGTGGATGTCAAAGAGACGAGCGGTAAAGTCGTCCCTTTTGATGGTGCTGGAGGAGGAAACAGAATATTTTCCAGGCTTCATGGGAACTGAAAAGGTCCAGGAATCCCACCCTCATCCATTGACTTCTGAATCCTCTCTGGGTCTACTGGATGAAACTTGAACATGCATCCCAATCTGGTAGCAGCAGGTCCATGTCCTGTTAGGAACCAGCTGCACAGCAGGAGGGGACTGGCAGAGCCCTACCTCCTGTCAGATCAGTGGCTGCATTAGGTTCTCATAGGAACGCAAACCCTACTGTGAACTGTGCATGCGAAGGATCTAGGTTGTGTGTTCTTTATGAGAATCTAATGCCTGATGACCCCTCCCCAGTTTGCTCATCTATAATGTGAAGAGGGAAATAATTATATCATAGAGTTGTGGTGAAGAGTAAATGAGTTATTATATTCAAAGAATTAAACATAGTGTCTGTTTTCAAGAAGAACTAAAAAATGACAAGTGATACATAAGTATTTTTATACTTGAAAGGCTGTAAACTTTCTAGTTGATATAACACTAGATCTCCGTAGCTTCTCCTATACTCTGAGACCTCCCAGAACAAGTCTTCTGCTCCACCATGGCAGCCTTCAGAGATAAAAGACAGCTATTATGCCCTGTGCACCAATAAGGTTTTTCAAATCCAAGCTAAATATCCTCATTTTTTTCTTCAACTAGTCCTCATATGTTGTGATTTCCTCAGGGGAGCCTTCCCTGTCTAGATTAGATCCCCCTGCTATGTGCTTTCATAGAACGAAGGACCTCTCCTTTATAATACTAATTGCAGTTTCAATTTTCCATTTTATTTGTGTGATTATTAAAGTCATCTCTCCTAGTTAACTATAAACTACAGAGGGTAGGGGCCATGTCTGTGCTGGCCCATCATCATAGCCCAGTGTGCTGCTGTGATGTGTGATATGTGGTAGGGGCCCACCCACTTTGGTTTTCTGGAGCTTCAGGGAGAGGCACAGTGAGAAGGAATCCACAATTAACACCACATTTGTTGCATCTCAAAATTCGGGCATGGTGGCTCAATCCTGTAATCCCAGCACTTTGGGAGGCTGAGGTGAGAGAATTGTCTGAGCTCAGGGGTTCGAGATCAGCCTGGGCAACTTGCTGAGACCTTGTCTCTACAATAAATCAAAAAATAAGCTAGGCATGGCAGCGCACCTGTAGTTCCAGCTACTTGGAAGGCTGAGGCAGAAGGATCACCTGAGCCCAGCAGGTCAGGGCTGCGGTGGCTGTGAGTGTGTCACTCTGCACTCCAGCCTGGGTAACAGAGTAAGACTCCAACTTAAAAAAAAAAAATTCAGGGTGGAGTCTATATACCTGCTTAAGCCTAGCTCATCTCATTATAGGGATCCTGCAGCACACCAGTAGCTCAGGCCTACCCTGAAGCTCCTCTGCTCCCCAGCCAGCTCTCTTCCAAGAGTGAGCTCACTCATGCCAGTCCTTGGTGAGGAGTCCCCAGCTGGGTCTCAGCATCCAAGGACGTTGGGACACATTTTCCTTTTTCTGAAGAGGTGCTCTCCTTCATATGCTCTAAGGGTTCTTCTCCTTCAGAGACTAGGGTTTGTGTGTGTGAGACAGGAGCAAGCCAGAAGGTAGGAGTTTCAGAGAAGGGCTGCAGGGAAGGACTCCCACAGAATCACATCATTAAGTTAAAGGTCATAAGTCAGGCTGCTCATATTTCCCACAATCCAGAACTGCAGGTACAGAGCTGCACCCATTCCAAGAAAGATTTCAAGGAAAGGTGGTGGTCAGATTCATACATTCATGACTCACTGAATTTTTGGCTGCAAGTCAATGGTTTCCAAGTTTCTTTATTTTTATTTTTATTTTCTGAGTTGGAGTCTCACTCTGTCACCCAGGCTGGAGTACTGGCACTCTGCAGCGTCAACCTGCTGGGCTCAGGTGATCCTTCCGCCTCAGCCTTCCAAGTAGATGGAACCACAGGTGCGTGCTACCATGCCTGGCTAATTTTTTGATTTACTGTAGAGACGAGGTCTTGCCAAGTTGCCCAGGCTGTTCTCAAACCTGTTAGCTCAGGAAATCCTCTCACCTCAGCCTCCCAAAGTGCTGAGATTACAGGCTTGAGTCAGGTTTCCAAAGATCCCTTCTCATATTCACTCTCACATTTTTTTTTTTTTGAGTTGGAGTCTCACTCTGTCGCCTAGGCTTGGAGTGCAATGGCACCCTCATGGCCACCCCAGCGTCGACCTGCTGGGCTCAAGTGATCCTTCTGCCTCAGCCTTCCAAGTAACCGGAACTACAAGCACGTGCTACCACACCCGGCTAGTTTTTTTGGGGTTTTTTTTTTTTTATTGTAGAGACGAGGTCTTGCCAAGTTGCCCAGACTGGTCTTGAACCCCTAGGTTCAGGCAATCCTCTCACCTCGGCCTCCCAAAGTGATGGCATTACAGACTGAGCCACTGTGCCCGGCCCACTGTCACATTTTAAAAAGATATTATTAGCCAGAAGCTGTGGCTCACACCTGTAATCCCAGCACTTTGGGAGGCAGAGGTGCAAGGGTTACCTGAGCTCTGAGCAACATGGCGAGACCTCTTCTCTATATAAATCTGAAAACAATCAGCCAGGCATGGTGGCACATGCCTGTAGTTCCAGTTACTTGGAGGGCTGAGGCATAAGGATCGCGTGAGCCCAGCAGGTCGAGGCTATGGTGGCAGTGAGCATGCCACTACATTCTAGCCTGAGTGACAGAGTGAGACTCCAACTCAAAAAAAAGATGTTGTTTCTAACAAAATAATCTAGTTTTCTGTTGAAAGGTTAATCAAAGACATGCAATTATAGGTTGAATATCATTTATCTGAAATACTTGGGACTGGTAGTATTTTGAATTTGGAAGTTTTGCATGTACATAATGAGATAACTTGGGGATGAGACCTAAATCTAAACCCAAAACTCACTTGTGTTTCATATACACCTTATATTTATAGCCTGAAGATAATTTTATACAATATTTTAAAAAATTTTATGCATGAAATAAAAGTTTTGACTGTGTTTTGACTGAGACTTGTCACATGATGTCAGGTGTGAAATTTTCCACTTGTAGTGTCCTGTGTTGCTCAAAAAGTTTAGAATTTTGGAGCATTTCACATTTTGGATTTTCGGATTGGGGATACTCAACCTGTACTATATATATACCTCTAAAAAATATATATGTGTGTGTGTGTGTGTGTGTGTGTGTGTGTGTGTGTGTGTGTGTATGTATATATATATATATGCACACACACATACACACACACATACACATATACATAGATACATTATATACATTTAATTCTAAAATGAGTTTGCTTTATATTTAATTCTAAAAATATCAAAGAAATTTAGGTCAGGTGTGCTGACTCATGCCTGTAATTCCAGCGCTTTGGGAGGCCACGGCAGGAGGACCACTTGAGCCCAGGAGTTTGAAACCAGCCTAGGCAACATAGCAAGACCTTGTTTCCACAAAAAAAAGAAATAATTAACTAGGCCTGATGGTACACACCTGTAGTCCTCAGCTACTCAGGCGGCAGAGGTGGAAGGATTGCCTGAGCCCAGGAGGTTTCAGTGAGTCATGAACATGCTACTGCACTCCAGCCTGGGTGACACAGTGAGACCCCAACTCAGAAGAAAAAAAAAATTGTTTTAAAGGGCACAGTGGCTCATGCCTGTAATCCCAGCACTTTGGAAGGCCAAGGCAGGAGGATCACTTGAGGCCAGGAGTTGGAGACCAGCCTGGGCAGTATAGCAGAGATCCTGTCTACCTGGGCAGCACAGTGAGATATTGTCTCTATTAAAAAAAAAAAGAATAAATTTTTAAATGTTTATTTATTTATTGTAGAGGTCTCACCAAGTTGTTCAGGTTAGTCTCAAACCCCTGGGCTCAGGCAATCCTCTTGCCTCTGACTTCCATAGTGCTGGGATTACAGGCATGAGCCACTGCACCCGGCAAAAGAATAAATTATTGAGAATCCGAGGAGCTTTTGAGAAAAAGAAAAAAATGTTCACTTGTACTAGAATCTGAAGGAAAAAAAAGATCAAGGGAGAAGAAACAGAGAAGGGTGAATAGAGTGAGCCATTTTAGGGTTGTTTCCTCATGCCCTGGGTGTGACCCAGTCTTTAACCCACCCCACCTAAAGATGAGAGACTTGAGGTGATAAGAGAGAGTCACTGCTTAGCAAAAGGAGTAGGAAATCTGACTTTAAACCCAATAACCTTCCCTACCCTCTGTTTTCCTCCAAAACTAGGCTACATTTCCCTAATCCCAAATGGAAATATCAGCCTTCAAAACACAGGGTCGCAGATCAAAAAATGTCAACAATGAAAGGGACTTTAGTCTTTAGTCAACTCCTTCATTTTTCAAGTGGAGAAAATTTAGGCCCAGAGAAGGAGACTTGCTTGAGGCCCTATACCTAAGTGGTAGAGCCAGGACTAGAAGCCAACTTTTCTGATACCTATTTTACTACTTTTTGTTTCTTCTGGAGGGTACTTGTCCTCCACTAAGTTGGCTGACATAGCAACACTTCATGGTTCCCAATCTTCCAGTCCCTTGGTTCTAGCAGCTCCTGGTCCCCCATATTTCATCATCCAGTACCTGAAGAGAGTTTGCTCTAGGAAGGCAGCGTTCTGGCTGACAGCATCTACTAGCAGGTTGAAGTCCATCTGTACAGCATAGGCTTGTTCCAGCAGAGCACTGGGGACCAGTGAGGGGAAGAGTGTGAATGGGGCATAGCTCACCACCTGATCAAGGAGAGAGAATAGGGTAGAGGTAAAGTACCTGTGAATGAGTTGTCCTCCTGCAAACGTAACCCCACAGAAAGTTTGGCTTACATTTATTGAGGACACACTAACTACAGATTAGTGTTATCTCAGAAGAGTGAGAGAAGAAGGGGTACAAAGAGCTCATCTAAATTCTGTGATATTTTATCTCTATGTATTTTTTAAAATAAGAACCAAATAACAAAACAAAAAGGTCCACAAAAAAATTACTGAGCACTTACTATGTGTAAGACATTATTTTATTTATTTGTTTGTTTATTTGTCTAGAGTCAGAATCTCACTCTGTCACCCAGGCTGGAGTGCAGTAGCACACTCACAGCCACCGCAGCCTTGACCTGCTGGGCTCAGGGGATCCTTCCACATCAGCCTTCCAAGTAGCTGGAACCACAGGTGCACATCACTAGGCTCAGCAAATTTTTTTTTTTTTGAGTTGGGGTCTCACTCTGTTGCCCAAACTGGAGTGCAGTGGCAGGCTCCCGGCCACCGCAGCCTCAACCTGCTGGGCTCCGGCGATCCTTCCGCCTCAGCCTTCTGAGTAGCTGGAACTACAGGGGCGAGGTACCACACCCGGCTAATTTTTTGATTTACTGTAGAGATGAGGTCTCCCTAAGTTGCCCAGGTGGTTCTCGAACCCGCGGGCTCAGGCAATCCACTCACCTCAGCCTCCCAAAGCATGGGATTACAGGCTGAGCCGCCGGACCCAGCTTTCAGCTAATTTTTTTTTTGGGGGGGGGTTTGAGTTGGAGTCTCACTCTGTCGCCCAGACTGGAGTGCAGTGGCCGCTCCCGGCCACCGCAGCCTCGACCTGCTGGGCTCCAGCGATCCTTCCGCCTCAGCCTTCCAAGTAGCCGGAATTACAGGCATGCACTACCACGCCCGGCTGATTTAATTTTTTTGATTTATTGTAGAGACAAGGTCTTACCAAATTGTCCAGGCTGGTCTCAAACACCTGGGCTCAGGCAATCCTCTTGCCTCTGCCTCCCAAAGAGCTGGGATTATAGGCATGAACCACCATGCCCAGCTAAGAAACTATTTTAAATATATAGATTCATCATTTAGCTACGTGAGGAAGTTGTCTATGCTTTAGCATGGAAAAGGGACTTGAGACAGAGAGGTTAAATAGTAGGTCCAAAATTATATTCAGCTAGTAAGTGGTTCTGGGATTTGAACCAGTATGGTTACTAAAACACACACACACACACACACACACACACACACACACACAAGCTCCTAGCTGGTTGACATTCAAACCGGGGACTTTTCCACACATCCGGAGGTCACACCCCAATCCAGTCTCCTTGCCTTTTGATTGGGTAGGAGAGTCCTGCTGGTAGGGCTGTAGCAGAAGTGAACTTTGGCCCCCTGAGTAGAAGCCAGGAGTGGTTTTCTCCCAATGTTAGAGATGGTGACTCAGGTTTACAGGCCTAGAATTCAGCTGCATTCTGGGTTCATGGACTTTAACATAGCCAAGAAACCCAAATACCACATAGGACACTGTTTCTGGAAGAGGAAAACGCATTCTGAGATTCCCAACAACAAATGAATTAGGACGCGTAAGAGATGATAAGACCTTGTAACTATAGTAGTATGAGTTTATGATGTTAGAACTTGGCATTTGTATATTTATTTTATAATATTATTTTGAATAGCTAATACAAACACATTATACAAAATTCAAAAGGGACATAAGAATACATAGAATTATGTCTCACTCCCATTCTGGCACCAGTCACCCAGTTTTCACAGAGGCAAATGATAGACTAGTGTTTCACACATCCTTCCAAACATCTTTATACTGATATATATGTACATATTTATATTTTCTCTTTTTTTTAATACCCAAAGCATAATATACAGACATTGTTTTCTCCCTAGCTTTTAAAATATTTCCTTATATGTTCAAACAGAGCACACTCATTCTTTTTAATGGCTTTATAGTATTCCACTCTGGATATACCAAAATTTATTGAATCTAGCCTTCTATTGATGAGTATTTGTGTTTTCTTCCCATTATCAATGCTTCAATGGGTAACCTAAAATACATATTTTAGATATTTTGTGTATGATAAAGTCCATGTATTCTAAATTCCTAGAAGTCAAAATGTCAGGTAATTAAAACAAATCCATTTTAAATTTTGGTAAATAATTCCTAAATTATTCTCCTCAATATGTGTCTGTGTATTTTTTTTTTTTAAGAGACAGGGGTCTTCGGGGTCTCACTATGTTGTTCAGGCTGGAGTACACTGGTTCTTCATAGTGCATTACAGCCTTAAACTTCTGGATTCAAGTGATCCTCCTTCCTCAGCCTCCAGAGTAGCAGGGACTATAGGAACACACCAGTGTGTCCAGCCTTAGCATCTGTTTTCAGATAAAACTGAGGAAGCATATCTGTGAGAATAAAGTTTATTCAGCCAGAAGTCTTTGTGAGTTAGAATGGGAATTATTGCAGATTATTTAAGAGGTGAGTTAATACCCTGAGTACATGTGTGATAACTATAGAAACATTTTCCTGTCTTTACAACTTAGAACTCTGGAGCCGGGTGTGGTGGCTCAAGCCTGTATCCCAGCACTTTGGGAGGCCAAGGCAAGAGGACTGCCTGAGCTCACAGGTTTGAGACTAGCCTGGGCAACTTGGTGAGACCTCATCTCTACAATAAATAAAAAAATAAGCCGGTCGTGGTAGCACGTGCCTGTAGGTCCAGCTACTTGGAAGGCTGAGGCAGAAGGATTGCCTGAGCCCAACAGGTCAAAGCTGTGGTGGCCATGAGCTGCCTGTCACTACACTCCAGCCTGGGCAACAGAGTGAGACCCTGACTCAAAAACAAACAACTTAGAACTCTGCCTCCTCCAACAAATTCTATCTGGCCAAAGAGTTTTTCTGCTAAGACTTCCCTCTGCCTCCTAGAACTTGTCATACCCTTTTAAATTTAGGGTCAGAGGTATATTGATGTTCTCTGCTGTCTACAGGCTAAAAGTTGAAACACGTAGTCTTCTCACTTTTGCTAGAGACATGACTGTAATATAACCATATTCTATTATTTTAAAAAAACTATAGCACATACATGATAATAAATTTCTGCTTTGTAGTTGGGAAAAAGAAAGGAATAACAGTAATTGTGGCAAACAGAACTTGCATCTTACCTAAAAGGGATAGCCAGAACTGTTCTAGTCAATTGTTGCCATGTAGGAAAGTGGGACAGGGCTGCCAGATTATCTAAACTTTCAAGACAAGTTGAGTTGCTAGATGTTTTTTTTTTTTTTTAAGTTGGCACTGACTTTTAAAAAATATTTTGGTGAAGAACTGTTAATAGTTCTTGCCTGTGGGGAGGGAAACAGTGGCTAGAGGAAGAAGACTTTATACTGAATACCCTTTTGAATTTTATACCTTATTCAAATGTATTTGAGTGTATTACCTATTGTGAAAAATAAATTAACCCCCCAAACACTACAGGACCAAATATTCAGCCTGAATACGGTTGGTTTGCAGCCCCAATCTACTAGATAAAATTCAAGTTCACACCACTCCTCTGCCCAGAACCTAAAGCTTCTTGGCTATCTGACCTTGGCCTGCTTTCTTACCCACTTATATCCCCTGCTGCATTCTCTTGAACATGTTTTGCTTTTTCCTATTTTTGGGCCCCTGCAGCACTGTTCCTTTCTCCTAATTGTCTTTTAAGTTCTAGTTCAAATACCACCCCATATCTCAATCCTCTAATTATAATGAATTATTCCTTCTTCCAGGTATCTTATACAGTATCTTGGGAGAGAAAATAAAGTATGGATGTTCAGAGTATGATCTCATGAGCCAAATTCCTTGGGCTTAAATTCCAGTTCTGCCAATTATTCCACCATTTAAATGACCTCAGGCCCTGGTTTCCTCCTCTGCTGTGTTGAGGAGTCAGTGATTCCAAAGTATTTAGAATAATGGCTGGCATATAGCACATACTCAAAAAATGATAGCTAATATTGTACAGCAGACTGCCTGTTTCCTCATAGAACTGACACTATTTAATTTTGTCTTCTGGTACATTCTCCAACTAGACCATGAGCTCCAGAGGCTAGTGTCACTGGCTGACTGGCCTCTCTGTCCTCAGTGCCTAGAATGGCCCAGCACAGAGGAGATACCTGGTAAAGATTTGGAATGAAATCACACACACACATGCATGTACACTTCCCGTCTTTTTTCCTGGATTAGATATTTCATTGAGGATTGTGCCTTTTCTAGGCTCTATTAACTCCAAGAAAGGTCAAGTGTTAGACCTTCACACATTACATATTGATTAACAGAAGAAACAAAAGCTTGGAAGGAAAAATGCTTCATTTTGGATTCATCCAAGCAGTTTACAAAATCTAGATTCACAACCCAAGCAATTCTATTCCCAAAGCCAGAGGCAGACCTTCCATAGCATCATGCTATCTTAGGTTACAGTCATTCTCATTTCTTGGGCCTCAGCAAACACTTACAGAGTCTGGACTCTCCACCAGGCCTGTTTTAGGTTCTGGGCACACAGAGACAAAAAAGAAAGTGGTTGAATGAAAAAAGACATTGGCAGCTTTTTAGTCACCAATATGGAAGGTCTTAAGGTATACTGTTAAGTTTTGAAAAAAAAGTACAGAAGAGAGTTTGTCTAGTATGTTTTCCTGTGCAAAAAGTGTGAAAAAGCAAAAACGTATTTGTTACTTGTTAATATTTACTTGTTATGAATAAACTATCTGAAAGGATAAACAAGAATGCTAAAACCCAGGTTACCTCAGGGCAGGAGAACTGGATAGCTACGGAATGTGGAAGGGAAGGTTAAAATCGTAAACTTTGTATACTCACATAGGTGCTCACATAGGAATGTACATGATTTTTTTTTTTTTTGAGTTGGAGTCTTGCTCTGTTGTCCAGCTGGAGTGCAGTGGTATGCTCACAGCCACTGCAGCTTTGACCTGCTGAGTTCAGGCAATCCTTCCACCTCAGCCTTCCAAGTAGCTGGAACTACAGGCATGTGCCACCACACCCAGCTAATTTTTTGATTTATTGTAGAGAGGTCTCACCAAGTTGCCCAGGCTGGTCTTGAACCCATGAGCTCTCAACTTGGGCTCCCAAAGTGCTGGGATTATAGGTGTGAGCCACCACACCCAGCCAGGAATGTAGATGAATTTATAATCATAAAAACATTAAAAATCATGCCAGGCATGGTGGCTCATGCCTATAATCCCAACATTTTGGAAGCTTGAGGTGGGAGGACTGCTTGAACCTAAGAGTTCAAGACCAGCCTGAGCAACATAGCAAGACCTCGTCTCTACAAAAAAAAAAAAAAATCAAAAAATTAGCCAGGAGGTCAAGGGAGACTGAGAAGGGAGGATTATTTGAGTCCAGGAGTTTGAGGCTGCAGTGAGTCGTGATCATGCCCAGCACTCCAGTATGGGCAACAAAGTGAGATCCCCCCACTCCAACTCAAAAAACAAACAAAAAACCTTAAAACATTAGAAAGCATCTAAATAGACATCAGTAGAAAGTTAAACTATTATATATCCACACCTGGACTACTAATGCTTCAGCATAAAGCTGACCCTAATGAAAGGCATCAGAAAGTTATAAGACTGTCAAATGACAAACAAAAACACAGCCGGGCTTGGTGGCTCAGCCTGTAATCCCGCCCCTTTGGGAGGCTGAGGTGAGTGGATTGCCTGAGCCCGTGGGTTCGAGACCCGCCTGGGCAGCGAAACCTCATCTCTACAATAAATCAAAAAAATCAGCCAGGTGTGGTAGCGCGCGCCTGTAGTTCTAGCTAGAAATGCTGAGGCGAAAGGATCGCCGGAGCCCAGCAGGTCGAGGCTGCGGTGGCCGGGAGCGGCCACTGCACTCCAGTCTGGGCGACAGAGTGACACTCCAACTCAAAAAAAAAAAACAAAAACACATAATAGAAGAATATGTATGATCCAATTTGGTTTTCTAAACTACATATTTCTCTATATACATATCTATGTATATAAATGCACAGAGACAAACCTGAAAGTATATATCACAAACCAATTACAGAGAAGGTAGTGTGATTAGGAAGTCTTAAATAATAGCTCACTGAGCAAAATGCTTTAAGTGAATTATCTTCTAATTCTCTTACCACCCCAATGAGGTAGGTCCTATTATTATTCCTTTTTTATATTTGAAGAAACTGTAGCTGACAGGGGTTAAGTACCTTGCCTAAGTCACTCTTCAAACCTCAAATTTAAATTTGATGACTCCAAGCTGGGCTCCCTAGCTCAGCCTGTAATCCCGCACCTTTGGGAGGCTGAGGTGAGTGGGTTGCCTTAGCCCGTGGGTTCGAGACCCACCTGGGCAACTCGGCGAGACCTCATCTCTACAATATATAAAAAATGAGCTGGGCGTGGTAGCGCGCGCCTGTAGTTCCAGTTACTCGGAAGGCTGAGGCGGAAGGATCGCCGGAGCCCAGCAGGTCGAGGCTGCAGTGGCCGGGAGCGGCCACTGCACTCCAGTCTGGGTGACAGAGTAAGACTCCAACTCAAAAAAAAAAAAAATTTGATGACTCCAGCATTTTGCTTTTTTCTTTACACATTCAGAGATCAATTTTAATTATTATTATTTTTTTTTTTTTTGAGTTGGAGTCTCATTCTCACCCAGACTGAAGTGCAGTGGCCGTTCCCAGCCACCGCAGCCTCGACCTGCTGGGCTCTGGCGATCCTTCCGCCCCAGCCTTCCACGTAACCAGAACTATGGGCGTGCGCTACCACACCTGGATAATTTTTTTTTATTTATTGTAGAGATGAGGTCTCGCCAAGTTGCCCAGGCGTGTCTCAAACCCACGGGCTCAGGCAATCCACTCAACTCAGCCTCCCAAAGGCACAGGATTACAGGCTAAGCCACCGAGCCTGGCTCAATTTTAATTATTAAAAAAAAATAAAATAAGGCAAAAGAGATGTAGTCCTTGATGCAAAGGAGCTGCCCCCAGCCTGCCAAGAGCCAGGCAGTGGACAATGGGATCCAGCATAGTGTGATCAACATGGTAGGGAGACCTGGGAGCTTACATCTGAGGAGCTGGGCTCCTGTGAGGTCCTCAGCAACACTCCCTCAGCCAGGGCCCGGTCCACAGCCTGCCGTGCCAGCTCCTTCAACTGCTGCTCATCCTGCAAGAGAATCCTCCAGCTGGTGGCCATCCCAACACCTGCGAGAGAGGAGAGAGGAGAGGTTGGTGACAGATGGTCTGGGGCCCAGCAACTACTGAAACTGGCTGGCAGCCACCCCCAACACGGCAGGACCCTGACCTCTGTTCAAAGGGACAGTATGGTATAGAGGAGTGAACACTGGCTGGTTCTAGCTCTTAACAACCTCCACGTGCACAAAACAGAAAGCCTGACAAAGCATTTTCATTACCACTCTCTCTTTTGATTCCTAATACAATGGCATTATTCTCACTGTAAGGAAGGAGGGGCTCAGAGGGGTGAAATGACTTGCCCTAGGTAATGATTGGTACAGCCTGGACTTGAACCCAGGTCTCTGGACTCTTAGCCCAATGCTTGCATTGGAGAAAGAGGTACTAATGTCAGATGCGACTGGGGCAAGTTCTTTCTCTTCCTAGAGCTGCAGTTTCCCTACTTGTGAAACAAGGAGCATGGGATAGATCAGAGGTTCCCAAGCCTGGCTGAATATTCTGGGGAGCCTGAGAAAGAGGATGGATTCCTGGGCCCCACCCCAAAGACTCAGATTTAAGAGTTCTGAAAGGAGGGAGGGTTGAGGTTCTGTCTTTTTAACGAGTTTTCCTGGGTGAGGAACCACTGTAGTAGATGATTAATTTCCCTTCTAGCTCCAACAACTCATGTCAGCAGATGTCAAATAAAATACATGGGAAGAAGGGAAGGAGCCCTTTGTGGAATACCAGGAAATGCAGATGAGGTGAACACCACCCAGAATGAACTAATCCAAAGCAAACTTAATAGCAGAAAATGATTACACTCTACATATAGACATCTATCATCACAGCACCAAAAGGCAGACATATTTCTGAAAAATCACAATCGCAGGATGGAAATTATAGAAACCCAAGTGTCCAATGTCCTAAGAGAAAGAGTCTGACTGGTCGTCCAGAGACACATAGCAGTGTACCAACTCACAGCTTGATACTCATTTTGTGTTACAGCAGGCCTCAGGGGTTTAAGGCCTGAATCTGGAAACACCAGTCATTATTTTGTTCTGCCCTATTGTCACTTAGTTTTAAGAACAAAATTTGGTTACCCAACTCAGTGGTACCCAGGAAGAGAGTTAGAGAATAACAGGTAACCTCTATCACATTCAGCTTTGTTCCTGTCCCCATGACAGAGCTGGTGCTAGACCAATTATGAGTCTGCCAACCTCAGCACAATGCTTTGAAAGAATGAGCACGTGATCTCAAGAGGATCCTGACAATATCCCTGTTGGGTGAGAATGAGGGCAGTTATAGTAAAGAACAAAGCTGGAGTCAGACAGACCTGGGTTTGAGTCTATAATATTACTTCCCTTTTAGGTAAGGTCACAATGTGGATTAAAAGAGAAAATCTGTGCGAAATTTCTATACATGGGACCTTTTTTTGGCTGTACTCACTTTACAGGTGGGAGGAGAGTTGCTAAAGGTCCTACAGCAGCCTGGTGGTACAAGAACCTGTAACTTCGACAGAGTAACAAAACCCTCCATCAGCCCCAGCTCTCCAACATCTCTGCAATTCCAACATCTCTGTCTGCTCTTAGGCTTTTCTTTAGTTGATAAACATTGATTTGCATCTAGTGTCAAGCCCTTCAATACCCGGGAGAAAGATAAGACATAAAAATAATCATTGTTAGTCACTGTGGCTGGGTGCAGTGGCTCATGCCAGTGATCCCAACACTTTGGGAGGCCAAGGCAGGAGGATTGCTTGAGCCTAGGATTTTGAGACCAGCCTAGGTGACATAGCGAGACCTTGTCTTTACAAAAAAAATTTAAAAAATTAGTTGGGCGTGGTGGCACGTGCCTTTGGTCCCAGTTATTCAGGAGGCTGAAGCAGGAGGATCGCCTGCGCCCAGGAGGTTGAGACTACAGTGAGCCATGATTATGCCACTGCACTCCAGCCTGGGCGATGGAGTGAGACCCTGACAAAAAATAAAATAATCACTATGAAAAATGCTGACCGAGCCCTATGTTTTTCTGGTTCTACGGTCTCAACCCTTCTTGTGGCTTTAGTTCTGTTTTGCTGATGACACTCAGTTCTATATCTTCCCAGCAGTACTTTCCTACCTTCAAACTAGAGCATCAGAACGCTTCCTGGGAGGCTCCACACCCAGAATGGAGTTTGCTGTCGTCTCCCCGCAGACCTGCTTCTCCTCTGAGGAGCCCCAACCAGGCAGGCACCGAGCCTTGGCTGCAGCACTTCTTTCCTACAGCCCATTCTCCCCCAATCCTACGGATGCTGCGGCCTCGATTTCTCTCCAGTCTCAGCCCGGCCCCGGCCGTCGCCATCTCTCCCTGGGCGCTGAAGAGATCGAGTGACCAGGATACTCCAGCCGCGCTTCCCCTCCCGGCCTTGCTGTTTCCCTTCGGAGCGGTCCGGCCACTCCCGAGCAGCGACCCGACGTGCCTGGACGCCGCCGGGGCCTCTCCCGCCGCGGCTTCCCTCTGCACCGCGGAAGCACGGCGGTGCGTGTCCTGGCCACAGCTCTACCTAGTGCCGGCGCCCAGGGCTGGATGCTAAGGGAATGGGTGGCCGGGTCAGATCACCGAAGACGCCCACAAGAAGCCACGGCGAGGCCACT